CCTAACTGCCATCATTGCAACCAATCCACCACCTCTATTCGCATTCAGTGTGATTTCTGTGGTTTACTTGGTCATACTCAAGACAAATGCCACAGATACATTGCTAGTCGCCAACAGGCAGTGGAGGGTGCTAAGAATCGCTACAAGCGTGGCAATAAGGCTCAGGCAGGCTCCAGCAACTCTCAGAATACCTTTCAGCAGCCCAAATCTTCGCCCAACAATGCCAATTCATCTACTGTGGTCACTGAATCAGCTGGAAATGCAAGTCTTCGTTCCGTTCATCCCTCTGATCCTCATTGCCCTCTCCAACTTGATGCTGACATTGATTGGAATGCAGACACAGGCGCCACTTCTCATATGACACCTCATCATCATTGGGTGCACCACTATACCCCATATTGTGTGCCAATCAAGCTGGCTGATCACACTGTTGTCTATTCAGCTGGTGTTGGTACTGTGGTGTTTAATCCTGTGATGAATGGCAAAGTGGCTAGGGCTGTGGAATTCTCTAGAGTGCTCCATGTACCAGATCTTCGAAATAATCTCCTCTCAGTCTTGTATTTAACTCGTCAAAGTGGTTTCAATGTCACTATTTCGTCTCATTCCATGTCCTTTATGCGTGACAACACTCTCTTGTTCACTGCAACTATCAATGATAACAATGCAGCATTCCTTGATGGATCTACTGCTGCTTGTGTTGAATTGGGACATTTTACTGCGACTATACCACTTGATTTGATGCTCTGGCATCGTAGATTGGCTCACCACCATCATGCTGATGTCAAGAGACTGATACAGAGAGATCTGGTCACTGGGCTTACACTGGAATCCAAGGCTGCTCCTGATCCTGTCTGTGAACCGTGCTTGTCTGGCAAAATGCATGCCAATCCATTCCCCTCATCTGATACTCGCTCTGCTCATCCTTTGGACCTCATCCATTCTGATGTACACCAAGTCTCTTCCCCCACATTCTCTGGTTATCGCTACTGGGTCACCTTCATTGACGATCACAGTCGATTCCGTGTTGTTGTGCCTCTCAAGGCCAAGTCAGATGTCTTTGATGATTTCAAGAGATTCAAGGCTTATGCTGAGACTCAATTGGAGTGTAAAATCAAGGCTCTGCGTGGTGACAAAGGGGGAGAGTACATGTCCAAGGAATTTGAGCAATTCACAGATGACCATGGGATTGTCAGACAGCATACCACCAGGAATCATCCTCAGCAGAATGGTGTGGCAGAGCAAGCAAACAGACTTCTGACTGAGCGTATCACTGCCATGTTATCAGAGTCTGCATTGCCTAACAGCTTCTGGGGTGAATGTCTGTCTGCTTTGGTGCATGTCTGGAACAGGTGTCCCACTGATGCAGTGGCCCATGCCACTCCATTTGAGTTGTGGTATGGACGCAAGCCTGACATGTCTCACCTTCGCATTTGGGGCTGCACTGCCTATGTGCATGTGCAAAAGGACAAAAGAGGCGTCTTTGGCTCTCATATGGAGAAATGTGTGTTCATTGGTTACCCTGAGGGGTACAAGGGATGGAAATTCTACAATCCTACCACCAAGTGCACTGTTATCTCTGAGAGAGCTGATTTTGATGAGCGCTACTTCCCTGGCTTGAAGAGGTCTTCTGACAATGTCCCACCTCCACCTCCCACTCCACCTTCGCTATCCATGCCATTGGGCCTGATTGAGGATATCCCTGCACCAGGTCCAGGGGGAGATATGGGCCCACCAGCTGTGCTTCAGCAGCCTCAGCCATTGCCTGACAATGGGCCTCATTTGGACCTTGATGCAAAACCACCTGTGAATCAACCTCCTGAGCTTCCAAATCACCCTCCTCATCGCTCACCTTCTCCTGACTTGCCTATTGCACTGAGACGCCCTGTAAGGGCTAGGAGACCACCTAGACCATGGTGGCTTCAACACAGACAACCTACTCCTGCCATTGAGAGTGATGACAGTGATTCTGAGGCAGTTGATGATGAAGTAGCACACTTTGGAGACTCTGCTGAGCCTAGGTTGTTTGCAGATGCAATGAAGCGTCCTGATGCAGATAAATGGAGAGAGGCAACCATGGAAGAGCTTCAAGCTCATGAGCGCAATGGTACTTGGTCACTAGTGGAACTACCTCCTGGAGTCAAGGCTATTGGTGGCAAGTGGGTCTTCAAGATCAAGCGCAACTCAGATGGCACTGTTGAGCGCTACAAGGCCAGATATGTGGCCAAAGGTTATAACCAGCGCCCTGGCTTTGATTTCCTCGAAATATTTGCACCTACTGTCCGCATATCATCCATCAGAGTTGTCCTTGCCATTGCAGCCATCCACAACCTCCATTTGCGCTCCATTGACATTTCCCATGCATTCCTGAATGGAGTCATGGATGTCAAGGTCTACATGCATCAGCCAGAGGGATTCCATCAGGGTCCTCGCAATCTTGTTTGCCAGTTGGACATGGCCATCTATGGGACAAAGCAGGGAGGCAGAATGTGGAACCAGAAGATGCACACTGTGCTTGAAAAACTCGGATTCAAGCGTACTTATTCAGACTCTGCCATCTATGTCTTTAACAGAGCTGATGTGCGCATTATCCTGCCTGTCTTTGTTGATGACATGACACTGACATCCACTTCTACTTCTGCACTTGACCAAGCTGTCAAGGACCTCTCCCTGCACTTTAAGCTTCGTGATCTTGGCCCTACTTCTTACCTACTTGGTATTTCCATCACTAGAGACCTAAGTAATCGCACCATCTCCCTCTCCCAACATCAGTACACTCTGGACATTCTGGAGCGCTTTGGCATGAAGGACTGCAAGCCTGTGTCCACTCCCATGGATCCTGGTTTGCGCCTCACCAAGGACATGTCTCCCAAAACATCCAGTGATGCTGCTTTGATGAAGGACATTCCCTACCTTGCTGCTGTTGGTGCTCTGATGTATCTGGCCACTACAACTCGTCCTGACATTGCCTACACTGTTGGAGTCCTTGCCAGATATAACTCTAATCCTGGTCTTACTCACTGGAGCGCTGTCAAGCACTTGTTCCGCTACTTGCAAGGCACCCTTGATCATTCCCTTGTCCTTGGTCCTGATCCCAATTCCACTGAACTCTTCACCACTTTCTCTGATGCTGATCATGGTGGTGACAAGGACTCTGGTCGTTCTACTGGTGCCTATATTGTCAAGATGGGATCTGGTGCTGTCTCCTGGAGCTCCAAGCTTCAGAACATTGTTGCTCTGTCCACCACTGAAGCAGAATACATTGCTGCTGTTGAGGCTGGCAAAGAGATTTGCTGGATGCGAAATTTGTTGAAGGAAATGGGCTATCCTATCACCTCTCCTTCCACCCTTCATATTGACAACCAATCTGCCATCTCTGTATCCAAGAACCCTGAGCACCATGGTCGGATGAAACACCTTGATCTGCGATGGCATTGGTTGAGAGATGTTGTTGACTCTGGGCAGATTGCTCCTACCTTTGTTCCCACTGCTGAAATGCCTGCAGACTTGTTGACCAAGGCTCTTGCCAAGCCTAAAGTGGAAGTGTTCAGGAAGATGATGGGACTTATTAGATCAGGGGGAGCTGATGCTTGGGAGGTGCAGCATCAGGGGGGAGTGTTAGTTTTGGTGATTCTGCACCTTTGTGCTACCTATATATTTTCATTCCTTTCTCTATCTATTCTTCTATCATTCACTATTGATTGTGTTCTCTATTATTTCGCCTTTATGGCTGCTTTGTTTACCTTTGTTTACAAAACTTCGGACAGTACTGCAGAGTCCAATGCTTCCTATTCTCTAGTTACTCACATTGGACTCTAGGTACTGTATACCTGTCATACTCTCTAATAATATAGTTACTCACATTGGACTCTAGTTCCAGTCCCTGATTGCTCTCAGCAAGTGGCTAGACACTTCCTTCAAGCTTTGTTCTTAATAGTCCTATTATAAGGGGTATCCACTCCCACTCACTTCACTCCTGCTTGTCTAAGTTGCGCCAGAGTATACAAACTTTTGGTACAGAAGGTTCTGCTTCTCTAGTCAATGTCATTACAGCTCACAAGAACCTGGAATACTTCTCCACAACTAAACTCCTGACCTGGCGACAAGCCTACTGGTTGGAGTTCCTATTGCAGTTCAACATGGTCATCTGTTTCTGCCCAGGACATCTTGGAACTAAACCAGACACTCTAACTAGACAATGGGATGTCTACCCCAAAAAGGGGGATAGCGACTATGCCAGAGTCAACCCACAAAACTTCTGACTGGTCTGTACTACCAAGCAACTGATTTTGTCCTTACAAGCCTCATTCCTGATTGAGCCAGTACTCTGAGCCATCTCCATAATGGACTCTGAGCTGCTCCACCAGGACATACTTGCCTCATTGACTATTGACCCAGTTTCTGCTGCACTCCTCACAAACCCTCCTCTGAATGAACCCTTGCTGGTTTATCAACCTCAATGGTTTCTTTTGGTGTGACAACCGCCTCTACGTCCCAGATGCTAATAATGTCCGGCTCCAAGTCCTTAGGGACAAACATGATCACCTTTTTGCTACTCGCTATAGTATAATGACTCCTAGGAGAACAATGGTGACTCCATGGAGTGGTGGCTATGCTCCATGGAGAACAATGGCTGCTTCGTCAGAGACCGGGTTTATCTGGTTTTGTCAAATGAGACCTCCTGGATACTGACAATGGAACTAGGGAATGCTCCGAACTAGTCTCCACTTTTTATGCAGTGTACCCTGTCAAACCTGGTCTGTATCTATGGGCCTAGTCTTTGGGACTTACCTCAGCATGGACTTATGCTCTCTTGGACTTATACTTACTTGGACTTACTCAGCACTCACTCGTTTTGCTCATTTTACTTGGACTTACTCACACGGGTCTTTTTTGGCCAGAACAAAGAAATAATTTCAAAAAAAAAGAGAAAAAAAAGAAAAACTATAGTACATCTATTCTATGGTACGGTAGGTTTTGGTTTAAGGAGGGGAGAGTTTTCTTTACTCCTCACCCTGCCCCTCTGACTCCGGCACCTCCAGAACTTGCAGAGTTCCCATCTCCACTTCTTCCTCTTCCTCCTCTTCTTCCTCCTGCCCTTCCCACCTATATATGTTAAAGTGCCTCATCTCCTCAAAACAATCTCTGAGCTCTGTGGCTGTCTGCCTCCATAAGCTCCTCCTCCCTAACCTCAGACTCCTTGTTGGAGTCTGACCACACCAGATCCACCAGGTGGTAGAGGGTTTTCTCCCTCAGGTCAGCCAGGAGCTGCCTGGTGGCCCTCTGCTCTTACAGTAATGCCCCCAGCAGATCCACCATCTGGGCCTGCCATCCCTCCTTTGACTTCTCTGTTGCGGACACCACCACTTTTTTCTTCTTCGTTTGGTGCTCTGCAATCTCCAAGGCCTCCAACTCCACTGGAGCCCTGCTCTTCCCTTTGCTGGGACCTGTGACTGTGTTCCTCTCCTCCTTGCACCAGCAGTTGGCCACCTTGCAATTTGCGCAGGTGCACACCTGTTGTCCCCTACCATTGTACTGGCACTCAAGCCCTGGGACACGCAGGTGGAGCAGGGATACCTAGACTGCATCTCCCCTGACTCCGCCACCTCCTTCTCCTTTTCCTTCTCTGCATTCTCCCTCTTGACTCTCTGCCTCTCCTCCTCAGCCTTTTGGGCCTCTGCTGCCCGCCACACACTTCCTCCTCCACCCTTTTTAACTCCTCCTTGAGCTGGTGTTTGGCCTCTGCCATCTCCACATGGAAATGGGCCATCTTGGCTATCCCGCTTTTGGGGGCATTGGGCATGGTGGTTGTGGTTGGTGGAGGTTGGGGTGGAAGGCATAGTTTTGTTGTTTGGACGTGACTGTCCAGTTGAGGGAATTTTTGAATTGACCCTCCTCATTATATACTCTCATTCAAACTCAGCCCAGATTCTGCACACCACTCCCTACCGAGAAATTTGTCCACCAGAGAAATTCTGCATGGAACTCTGTACCTACATTACAAGTTACTCCTTACAAACTCCCATCCCTCCGGTAGTACAGTATATAAGTTGTAGCTCCTGTACTCTGTTCCTGCAGTTTAAATTTCAACTAGTTCCTACCAACTTTATTCAAGTCTCTTTCTAAGTTCTATGGTCCTTCTGTGAAAAACCTTTACTACACTCCACCTTTTATCCTCTACTCTCACCCGTTCACTCACTCAAATTAGGGACCAAGGTTTGTGGAAGGGCCTAGCACACATCAGGAAAAATGGGGGTAGCTATATAGAGCTCTATAGCACTATAAGTACTTATAAAGCTGTTATAGTGGTCAAACCTGTTATAGAACCTCTGCCATCTATAGAGCCTCGTAGCTCTATAAATGCTCTTATAGATGTTGGAAATTGTTGTGTGGCTGATTAAAAAAAATTAACACAGACAGGATTTGAACTCTCAACCTGCTAGTTAGCTCTTGGGTGACTAAGCAACCTACAGCCACACATCACATTTATCCACTACACCATGAGAGCTTATAAAATATATTATACAGGTGTTATATATTGACCTTTTATGGACTTAGATTAATTTTTTACTCATTGTCACTACTTATATTTAGATAAATCATTATTCTTATTTTGTGAGTATTAGGGATACAAACTACTATTTCACTAATATAGGCTATGTATTTAATTAATACTGTATGATTTATTAGCCCTTTTAAGCACCTTGAACTATATCATAACTATGACCTTTACAGCTATAGGAGCTATATAGGCTGCTATAGGCTATAAGAGCACTTATAGTATCTTGCCTATAATAATATACTTGACTCCAAACACTTTTGGCCTCTTTCTATTATTGAACAAGTTTATTAGATTAATCCAGAGTTTGAGGGAATTATAGATACTTCTCCCCTTGGTTAAAATTTTGCCTACTACTATGCTATAAGAGCTATAAGAGCTATATAGCAAAAAGGTTTTTCCTGATGCACAAGCTAAGTCAATTCCCAACCTCGTACCCCCCATCTCCATACTCTGAACTCATCACTCTGAAGGTCACAGTTCTCACAATAATGTATGTGGTTTTTTCAGAAATCACACATTTGTGATTTTGCTTACAGTTAGTCAAACAATTTGTATCTGAGAGCTTAACCACCATTTTCTGAGCAAATAACATATGAACTGTGTAATGGATGTTAATATATTTTGGTGACAACCTTACAATATATCAAAAGTTTCAATTTGTGTTACACTGTTGACATACAAATATCATAACAAGACTTTAAGCAAAACCACATACAATCTTTGTAAGAAATGTTATAATGTTGTGTTGACAACCTTACAACAATAATTTGATCATGGTAAGCATGCATACATACAGATATTATCATTGATATTGTGCTAGGTGTGATGTCGGGAAGCATTGTGTTGACTCGCCGGGATCTTCTCTATACTAAGGACACATTTGGAAGCCACATATGCCAGGGGCATAATTACCACAAGCTACAACAGTGTTTTGATCATTCTATGTATGTACACATATATTACAGTTGATACTGTGTTATATGTGATGTCAGAATGTGTTGTTGTGATACCCCAGGGTCCTATCTGCACTCATGCTGCAATTGGGAATATAGGCCACAAGGTTGATTTGATCCAGCTGGGTCGTCCTAGACAAGAGATTATTAACCTATCCAGCCGGGTCATCTCAGACAGGCATGATCAGGCCCAGCTGGGCTATTCTAGACGGGTGTGCTCTGACCCAGCCAGGTCATCCTAGATGAAAAATTATTGAACCATCCAGCTGGGTCATCTCAGGTGGGCATGGACAGATATAGCTGGGCCATTGTAGACAGGTGTGTAATCAAATATACCATGCCAAAGCGGAATTAATAAGTCAGGAATTTTGAATGATACAAGATGCATGATATCTGAACTGCGTTACAATACACAATCTTCGGACTCTTAACTTTCAATCTCCTCTTTAACCTTCTTCTTCATTTTTCACACACTTGTGCCATACAGCACTTTCCTTTCGTTTCAGACTCTACTTGTATCTTCACTTTCCCGTGCCACTCTGCTTCCTCTTTATTTTAGATACAAATCTCTCACGTGGTGGAGCTTGGTGAGCTTTAGGCCAACCCCCCTGAGCAAGTTGAGCAAAAATTCAACAAAAAAGTTGAGATTGTCGCTGACCCCAGAGCTTTTGACGGAGACTGAGCAAATTTTGCCAAATGGTGGATCAATGTCCAGATTTGGGTGAAGGCAAATTACAAGGCCTTCAAAAATGATTTTGAGCTTGTAACTGCTATCTTGTCAAGGCTCAAAGGACCTGTGGCAGGTCAATACGCCCAAGTGTGACTTCAAGAGTGTTACATTTCTAATTGCTGGCCAAACTGAAACTGGCACAACCTCAAAGGGGAGGATGAAAAATATTCTAAACCCCAAGCTGAGTGTGACTGGGCATGCCAGCAAATCTGTACCTTCAAACAAGGCAATATGAGGATGTATAATTTGTGACCCAGTTCCTGGCCCTCTCAATCCAAGGGGGCTTGGAAATGAACACACTGTGGAGTTGTTGGAGCAGAATATTGCACCTGCCATAGCTTAATAGCTCTACTTACAGGGCAGAAGAGAGGACAATCAGGAGCTCTATCACATGCAATTTGGTGGCAAGTCCACCTACAAAAACAACAACATTTTCCAGAGGAGCCCTGGGTCATCAAACCATCATCAAAACCATTCTCACGGGTTCAAGCTGTTTGGGCTGCAACCAGGGCAGGGGGCCCCTAGGGATATTGGTGTGGTCCATGGCAGACAGGTGCACAGATTCAAAGGGAACTGCTACAATTGCGGTCAAGAGGGACACATGTCCTGATATCGTTGAAATGGGGTGCAGGCCACCCAAAACCAAAATAAAGGGTGCCAGGTGCGCCAACTAGTATAAAATGAAGAGCTGGACAATTGGCTCAATATATATAACAAAATCTGGGCCTTTTTTTTGACCAGCAGGTTGCTGAGATGAAGGCCCAAGGAAAAGAATTTGGAGCTTAGGTCACTTGGGTGCCTTCACTCCTCAATACATTGAAGTAAATGTAAACCACACCAAAGCTCCCCCTGCTCCAGGGTGTTGCACAAGCAATAAAGGAAAGAGGGTGGCTCCCCATTTTGTAAATTGATTTTTGAATTTGTTATCAGAAGTATGTACTTGTATCCAGGAATGTGATTGTAATATTTATGATACTACCGCTGCACCAGTGTCTCTCCAGGAGTGTGGCCCCGGCAAGGCAAACACTAGGGTGCTTGATTCTGGTAAAAATAAAAATAAAAATCTAGAAAATCCCAAAGTAGAAAAACATGTTTCTTTGATATTTTTTTTTCTTTTTCTCCGGAGCCACTTTCTACTACAATCCCAAGGTGTGTGTTGATGTGCACATATTTAGTCCGCAAAGATCTCATTCATCATGCTCTGGAAGGTCACCACTGAGTTGGTCAACCCTAAAAACATAACAAGGGGTTCAAAGGATCCTCAGCGGCACGTAAACATGGCCTTCCAAGCATCTTCTTCTTTGATGTGTACATTATTGTATCCCCATCTGAGATCCATCTTTGTTAAGATCTTGGCGCCAGCCAATTTATCTACTAGCTGACCGATCAAAGGCAGTGGATACACATTTTTAACTGTGTACTCATTTAAGTAACAATAGTCCATAATCATTTACTTTTTACCATCCTTTTTAGGAATGAAGAACGCCAGGGATGTCATAGGGCTCTTGAAAGGTCTAATGTAACCCTTCTTTAGCTGTTTGTACTCTTGTTGTTGTAAAGTTTTCAAAAGGTTGGAAATGTAATTGGAATCGTATTCGTCGAGGTGCATTGGGATTTTTATCATGGAATGTTTTCACCTTTTTTGGTGAATTGGATAGGTTTTGTTTGGGTTCCCATGTGCGTTCCTCTTTTGGGTAGTTTTTCCAATGTACTAGGTATTCTAATTTTCCTCTTTTTAGACGTGAGTCTAGAACTTCTTCAACTTTGTACTCTTCTTGTCCATCCACTATCACCGGTGGTATCGGTTTGGGTTGTTCTTGGGAGGGAAATTGTGGTTCTTTGTATAATGTGAGCTTTGTTTCATTAAAAACTGGATGGATAGGTTGCCATGTTGGTGGTAGTAGTAGTTTATAGGCTGATTCACCTATTTTTTTGATGATTTCCAATGGTCCGTGCCTTTTATCATCCAGTTTCTTAGTTGGTCAGTCTGTTGAAATGTTCGTTGCTTCCACATATACTTTGTCTCCTATCTTATATTCCACCGCATCTCTTTTCCTTCTGCCCAATTGACTTGTTTATGGTTTACAAAGATTCTCAGATATTGTTCTATCTCTTGATTGATCCTCTCTGTTTGCCCATCCGTTTGTGGATGCCATGCTGTTGATGGATTTGCTTTTATCTGGAGTAGTGTTTGTAGATCTTTCATAAATTTAGAAACGAATTGCGGTCCCCAATCTGAAATGATCTTTTTGGGTATACCGTAGTTTCTAAATACGTGATCTCTAAATAATTGCGCTACTCTTTCTGAAGTGATTTCTATCTGTGTGGGGATTGCTTTAATCATTTTTGTGAACCAATCTACGACTACCATTATCATGTTGTATCTGATTGATTCTGGTAGTGGTCCGATTAGATCCACCGAAATGATTTGCCAAGGTTTACTCGGGATTTTGTTCAGATGGAGTGGTGCTGCTTTCTTTTTGTGGTCTGTTTTGGTTCTCTGGCAGACTTCACACCCATCTACGTATCTTGTGATATCTCTGTCCATATAAGGCCAC